TTTTATTATGTCGGAACGTATTTTGTTTACTTTCCATAAATTAATAATTTTTCAAATAATCTTTTGTTTTTGACTTTTCAATATGCTTGCGCCCCTTGTAGAGTTGTCACGCTCCCAAGGGGTCGCGCCTCACAGTTTGAGAAACTCTGGGTTAAGTGAAGAGGGGGCATTTTTGAGCTAGCATCTTCTCTCCAAACACCCATTTTACGTCAACGGAAGAATTTTGGCCTCGGAGGTTTAAATTTGCAATAGCCCCTCGTTTTTCACGTCTCGAACTCCTAACATCCCAGCCACGAGACCGTGACTGGAATCTCTTAACTGCATGACTTCCTTTTACTTAGAAACTACAAAGTCTCCAAATGCCCATGTATGTAAAATATTGAAAAAGCGCGGGAAAAAATTCTAAATTTGAAATAAAATTTCCAAATTTGCTTTCAAACATTATACATCAAGCATCTCCTTTATAAATATATGGTTGTTAACCTCATATATACGTTTTGCTCATACGATGCGTTGGTTACCCGAACACATATAAAACGCGTCCTGCTGAAATACGATTCTTTGTTTGCTCTGCTGTCAGTATAACTTTTCCGAAGTGTATGGAATGCAGTAAAACTCCATTGACTGTGTTTGCGAAGTATTTACTTTTTTCCGAGAAAATTTTGCTCATTTGTGCCTTTTCTATTCTCTCCAATGCACCAAATATGTGACCCTACGTAAAAAACAGTAACACTGGTGTGAGAATCGTATAACGTTTTTAATCGGTAATTAAAAGAACAAAGACACTATTATCAAAAATGACAGAAACAAAATATACACGAAACACTATCACAAAATAATTACTAAGATTAATTATTTGCTTTAAACATTGGTGGACTTTATGATTTTGTTCCACGTTAATGGGATGGAAATTGAGAACTAATACTGACACATCTTTTTCAAAACTTCCAGTACGACGACATGAACATACGAACATTTAACATACATCAGCCCTAGAGCCCGTGGGTCTTTAAGGGTATGAGTTCTCGAATCCCCAGCTAACCACAGAATCGACATTCATGAATTGGCTACAGCAGCAACAGTTTTGGGTACCTTGAACACTAAGCTATTGTGGCCACAATACAAATTCAGGTATGAGTAGTTAAACTCACTGAATGCAATACTATATCCTATTTCTGTATATGTACTGAGTCTTTTATACTGTTAACATTATTGCGACAACGTACTTTTACCAACGGAATTGTAGAGACGGATATGATACATATGCATACTTCCCAAATGCCACTGGTAGCCGTAGAATGTATTGGTGAATCGCGCGTTTTGTTCTGGTTCTACATGTTTGCTCGCCCCCATGGCAAAGTGCATTGAATGGCCTGCCGTCCGATAAGGGTGTGTGATATTGGGGAGATCTTCGCGAAAGGGTTAATGATGAAAAATATTGAAACTTTAACTAGTGGCCTTCAAACTATTTCGACTCCTGTAACCCTAAGAATTATAATGCTTTTACGAGGGACTTCCCCTCTCCCTTCATTCTACTTTCTCAGAATATATATAAAAATAATATTTAAAGCAACGATCAATGTCCTGTAGGTATTTTATATTGTTAAGTGTGTTGTATTTGGGTGTTATTAAATTTGTTCATATAATCTTCGTTTAATTCAGTCATTAATAATATTAATTTATGCCTCAAGTATCACTCATGCATGCATTATATTTAGTAACTGGATGGGATTACATTTTTTTTTACACAAATTGTTGAACTTTAGGTCTATTGAAATTAACAGTAGGCACATTTCTTATTTTGTGTCAATTTGTTTTTACAATTAGTTTTATCGTTGTTGCTTATCCTCTTGGTTTTGGAATATCTACGCCAGGTCCAAAATTCTTCTCGTTGCACAAGTAGTTTGAAGATATTCTCCTCCTCAGCCATCAAATGCCACCAGGAGACATCCAAACAAGCAAGAAGATGATACGGACTGACAGGGAGGAAATAGGAACATAGAGGAAAATTTTTTTTCACCATTCTAGAGCTTCACAAAGGTCTTTAAAAAATATCCACTTCTAAACCTCACACAGAACGATATGAGGGCCCTGGAGCTCTTGCTCAATAGAGATAGTCCTGGGTGACTAGTAGCATACTATGTACGATCTGATGGGAGGCGCCACGTGGAGAGTAACTTTATTTTTATGGTTGGGGTAGATTTACAAAGGGGCTAGATCTGCAGAGTTTTTGATCGGAAGATTACATGAATTTCTTGTGGGCAATCGAATTAGTGACAGCTAGAGGTAAGCTATTCATGATGAACAGAAAAGGTGAAAGGCTGCTAGGCAGCGGGAAGCCAGTGACAGGAGGAGTGATCAGATCTTGGTGATTGGAGAAAATGACTGCTGTGCTGTCGGACCCTGCGAGGTCACTTACTGGAAATTTAACTTTATTATTTTGCTAGAGTCTACATGAATATATACAGTTGAAAACCCTTATGAACGAACCAAACATTCGACGATACCCAGTATATGATTTGCAAAAGATGTATCTTATAGATTCAATAGAACGTGCGTAGCTTCTGCCTTAACTTTTTGTAAATAAGAAGTAATTTTTTTACTAGAGCATCCTCTCGCTTTCCAGGCATTAAGTAAACTTGGGTTCGTAACATCATAAAGGATTATAGGGGAAAAAAGGCAGAATAAGTCAGTAAAGATCAAAATAAAAATATCTTACCTTTCAGATAAAAAATCTCTTTACATTAATTAATGGTATTTCTATATAAAATACAATAGGTTGCATATATTGCAGATATTTTTGATGTAATGTATCACTTATTCTTTAGGATTTAAAGGAAATGGAATATTTTTTTAACCAAATCTGGGTCTTTGTTTTCATTTTGAACGTCATTGAAACAATTGCAAGTGAATCAAGTGAATCTATACTTAAACTGTAATTCAATATCTCTTTCTCAAGTACTTTTCTATAAGTCATAATTATGACTTAAAAATGCACACTAAAACTATGCTTACGAATAGCCTAATGCTTAGCAAAAAAAAAAGTGTGTATGTACTTATGTACGCACGTAAGATATTATACTTCTTTAGCGTAACAAGATTAAAATTTTTCGAAAAATCTTTAGCAGGGCAAGCTGGGCCAAAGAGATAGGCGGTCACGAGCAGAGTTGAACGATACTAACCTTCAGTCAATCGGACCAACCAAACCTGAGATAATCACGATTTAAATAAATTTACCCCGCACAGAAACCATACGACCAATAACAGGGGTATCAGTCTGTATCTGGAGAAAAAGTGAACCGAATGTGACACCTGAGACCTCATATTGAATGTCTCGGCGGTAAGAGTCGTTCCTGAGAAAAATAAGACACCCGCCTGAAGAGCCCCCAAGTTCTGGTCATTTTAAAATAATTAAAACATTTAAAACAAATAAAATTAAAGCAGGATACCGATTAACTGAAACTGGGCCTGGTTGTGAGCAAACACAAGAGGAATCCATTAGAACCGGTCCGGAGTCTGATGTTGCAAATAGGGAGGTGCAAGCTAAGGAAAGGAAAACAAAACTAACTCCCCCCGGGAGGAAAAACTGTGACGTAAACGGTCCCGTACATCCCAACGGTATACAGAGTAGTAGTTGATCCCAAAGTTTCATCTTTTTATCTCTGTAATATCGTTACGTCATCAAAAGATCGAGCCTTATAGGAATAAAATGGGGATTCTAATTTTTCGTGATAACGCCCCCCTAAGCCTACTATCTACACAGGAATTATAACAGATGAAATAACTCAACGAGGAGAACCAATGGTTCATTAACGAATCTCAAAATTCTTCGGAGCTATGCGGGTTTTAAAAAAAAATTATAAATTTAAAATAATTTTAAAGTGTTAAATATGGGTAAAGAAATGGACTATGGGGCCCTGAAAAAATATATCTAGAATGCTCATAGGATGAACAATCGAATCTAGCCGGTACGGTTGACCAAAGTGGCATAGGATTCGAGATTATTTCTGGGGAAGCCCTCTAGGGAGGGTTCAAATCCATGTAAAGCTCGCGCTAATACGAAAATATGGCGCACTTCCAAAAATCAAGTTTCAAGCTCAATTAATTAGGGGGTGAAAAGTTTTCCAGTCCTTATAGGTTAACATGGAAGCAGGATATTTTAGTGTATAAGCAATCCCCAGGACTACACAATGAGGATAAATTAGATTACTGGATGGATCTGACAGGTGGAACATTTGGTTCAAATCTCAAGTCCGAGACTCGAACAGGAGTCAAGATATTTTGAATTTAAACAAATTTAAAAAGATTAAGACAGTTAAAAACAATAGAAGAAATAGCCCTATGAGCAAAATTATAATAACTGGAAGAGCAGTTAGAGAGGGATCAATTGAGCCAGGTTCGAATGGACTGTGAGGCTTGGGTGCCGAGATATTCGCCAAAAAGCTGTAGAGGGAGGGATGAACAGGGGGATGTGTCCCAACATATGGTTTATAAAAATAGTTATTATGAACCCCCAAATATAAGTCCCATAGACCAAAAAGTGGCATGTTAAAATATTAGACAAATGGTGTGCGCGCGCATCGCTGTCGTGCAGGTATACGCTGCATCGTAAAAATTTACCCTCATCCTTTTTCCTTAACGCCCAAAAAGAAGTATAACTTCAAAAATAAATATATGAATACAAAGGCTCTTATAATTTGTTACAATGGAATAAATGTGTTTATGTTCATCGCAATGCGTTCGTAGTAAGTACATCTATAATCATATACTTGCAATTGTTATTTAAATAGGTAAACTTATATTTACAGTTACGTTTTATGTACATGAAACACAATTTAAAGATTAATTTACTAATTTGTTTCAATTTCCTGTAAGTATGTTTAGTGTAATAACAAAACATTATCAAACAAATGCATCAGAGAAGCTCCTTTAAACGAAAATGATCTCTCCCTTTTAGTAGTGACGTCACAAATCAGCACAAAGCAAAAGGCTAGCTGACGCGGGGTATAGCTCACTGGTAAAAAGCATTCGACTGCAAATCGACAGGTCCCCGGTTTAAACCCGGGTATCCTCTTCTTCAGAGAAATGAAGAGAAATATCCTTTTGAGATTTCGAAGGCGGGAATAATCTGTCCCGTTCTGTATATTTCTACACAAAGCATTTTCGTATCCGTTCCTACGGAACGCAAAGCAAAGGTTCGTTGACGTGGATGTATAGCTCAGTGGTAGAGCATTCAACTGCAGATCGAGAGGTCTTCGATTCAAAACTGGTTGTCCCCTTCTTCAGGGAAGTGAAGAGAAATATTTTCCTGAGAATTTTGACGGGAATTATCTGTCCCGTTCTGTATATTTCTAGACAAAGCATTTTCGCATCCGTGATGGTTTTGCGTCACATCCGTAATGGTGTGCGCGGGCATCGTAAAAATTTACCCTCATCCTATTTCTCTAATTTCAAAAAGAATTATACCTTCAAAAAAGAAAAAAGAACATTTGACTTTAAAAAAATGATTTTTGTTCACCTTGGCTGTTTATATCAGAACACATCTCTTTCTCATCCATCTCAAGAAATGAGTATTTGCAAATAGCCGCTTGTGTCTGACAGCGGATGCAGATATTTTTTGCGATACTTTAACAGCTGATATTGCAGTCGACAATCATATAGAGATGACAGCTACAACCATCCATCATCAGAGGAAGGACATTGTATTGATCGTTTTTCATATTGGGAAAAGGCATATCCTTTTATGGTTTCTGATGTGTGTGTGTGATTTCCTTTAATAAACCTTCGAAGATAATAATATATTTAACAATTTCGTTCATTATTGGAATTCAAGATACAGAGAAAATCGTTTAACACGAAACTGAGTGGACTGGAATATTTTGTTGTGTTAAAATAATTTCGTGTTAAAGGATATTGAAAAAATAAATATTCAACAAAATTAATTTCATTAGAGTACATTTTGTTAACATTAATATATATATATATATATATATATATATATATATATATATATATATATATATATATATATATATGTATTTAGTAAAAATCTATGAAACAAAAACATTCACAAGACAATAATGAATTTTTTTACAAGATTAAACACCTAAATCTATACAGATTTCGTTTTCGTCTTCTGATTTTCATCAACAGCCTTGAGAAGCTCTTTGCCATTTGTTCGTACAAAATTTCTTTTAAAATAGAAAAAAAATCGAACCAAACTGATTGACATTTTCTCACATTGTGATGAACCGCCACCGAATTCTAATGGATGATATATTAAATGTTTTTGTATGGAGTTTGTAAGGTTTTAAGGGGGGAAGGAATCAGCTTTAATAAAGAAAGAGCTAGTGTCACTGGCTTTTTTGGAGGATATTTGAAAGCCAAGTTAATCTCCTTTCAACGCTACATGTGAAATCCCCTGTCTCATTTCCCATTTCTATTAAATTTCGCTTTGCCCGACTGGTGTTTTTCGTATTTTGTTCATTCCAGAAGGGAAATATATCCGTGTTAAGTGAAAAATAAAGCATTAAAATACATTGTAATTTTCAGGACCTTCGTATTGTTTCGTGTTAACTGTCATTTCGTCTTAAGACTATTCGGTACCTCCTGTAACGACAATGTTAAATTCAGCTTTGTTAGGTCTATATTTCTCAGAAACTGTTAAATATAAAAACTTCGAATTTTGTCTGTATATTCATTATACTTTTATATTTATACTGAAGCTAAATTTTTCAAATACATTGCTTTAGTTTTCTCATAAACCTTCAACGTAAAAGTGTCACTCTAGATCTTCGGAAATTTGTCCTTTTTTTTTTACTGATTAGCAAAATATTTTGAAAAAAAAATCTCAAAAAGAACTAACTTCAGTATATATAGTGACATATCAGTTATATGTGGTAAAAATTGCATGTACATTTGTTCAGTAGGTTATGAGAAAAAGGTACGTGCAGTTTCAAAACAATCATTTAGAGAAAAATGCATTTTTAATGTAAATAACCACTTCATCAGAAAAATAATGAATTACAAAATGTATTTGTCCAATTTTATTAAACATTATTATTTTCTTAATTTATTTTAAGTAAAATAGGAAATAAGAAAGTTTTAAATTGCCCAGAAAATACATATATAACATTTCTCAATTTTTGCTTAGCGAGATATGGTGTATCATTTATATCAATTTTCTCAAATTCTGTATTAAATTTTGAAGAAGTTTTAGGTTTGATGCATTACAAAAATATCAAAGTTGATAATAAAACATCATAAATATAATGTGATAATGTATTAATGTGGTTTTGGTGTGAATTTGTAAGAGTATTTAAAAATACCTGATTATATACGACATTTTGAAAGTTTTCAGAAGGCTTTGTTGATGCAGGCGCAGTTTCTAAGTTTTAAAATTCAAAAGTTACATACCAGAAACAAGAGGAAAGAATTTTCATACGCATTCATACATTACATTCTGAGAAAAAGACACATTCGGTTTTAAAAACAGCATTTTTTTTTTTTTTTTAAAAATTTCATTTTTTAATGTATTGTAGTCACTTCATTTATATATAAAACAAGTAATATAAAAAAAAATTAAGCTAATTCCCACTATGAATGGATGAATAGAATGTATTTTATTAACGATTAAAAATTTGAATAAGATAAATATATAAATAAATATATAGAGAGAGTAAGTTAATAGTAGGGATTGATAAAAAAATGAATTACAACATGTATATTTGTCCTATTTTACTAAACATTATTATCTTAATTTATTTTTTAAGTAATGTAGGAAGCAAAAAGGTCTTAAATAGCTCAGATATTATATACATAGCATTTTTCAGTTTTTGTTTAACGAGATATTTTTTATCATGTACATGAATTTTCTCAAATTCTGCATCAATTTTTGATGAACTTTTGGTATGATGCATTACACATATATCAAAGTTGACAATAAAATATCATAAATATAATGTGATAATGTATCAATATGGTTTTGGTATGAATTTGCAATGGTATTTAAAAAAATATATTATACGGTTTTCCCTAAAGGGTTTTTGGCCCTTTTGGGCATTTTTATAGGTTTTTTGTTGCAAAAGATTCTAATTTTTAACCAAATGTTACTTTAAACTGGACAAATGATTTCTGAAACAGCGAAAATAAAACTGTTTTCGTGTTTTTAAACATAAAATTGAAAATTTTTATGTATGTAACAAGCTTCTCGCAACGGCAATAAACATTACATTTCATGTATCATCCCACACCTTTTTCTCAGAAACTATTAAACATAAAGACTCTCAAGATTACTACTATGTATTAAATAGACATTTTTATTTATACTCAAGTGAAAGTTTTTGAATACATTATTTCGTTTTTACAAAACATACTTTTATGTAAAATCACTATGAATTTATTGAAAATTGTAATTTTTTTGTTATCATATCTGCTTTCTGGATAAATGAAGAATATTTCAAAATGTTTACTTCAGTATACACAATTGCATTGAAGAAGCATAGAGGACATGCATACAGTAAATTTACACAAATTTTAAAATATAAAATTTAGAAAACTGTGATTTTTATACAAAGTCTTACTTTATCAAAAAAAAAAAAGTAATCTATAATTTATTATGCAAGGTAACGAATGATGAGATTTTATTTTCCATTGATTTACTGAATGGTACGAAATATCTTTTACTATTGAGTAGATGAAAAGCAGGTTTTTTACTTATGCAATACTTTAACAATTATTACCTTTCCAGTATCTATATTGTAAAATAAGTGCAACCCTTTTTCTGCCATATATCTCATTTTTAAGATATTGAAATAATTTTATAATTAAAATTTTTTTTCAAAAGCACGTTTTCAAAAGAATCCACTCCAACAAGTAATTAAGTATTTAAAAGTATAAAAATTTCGAAAGGAGAAAGTTCACTCCATTCGTTTTTAAATACAAAACAAAAAAATTCGCCCAGGAACTAAATTTCGAATTAAAAACAAATGTTTTCATCATATTTACAAACTTCGCTCCAAAAGTAGGTAAGCAAACTAACAGTTACGCTTGCAGTTAATCTACAATTAATTGTGCATATGATTAAAGGAAATTTCGTGGAGGCTTTGCAACTTCTCAGATTTAAAAAGCCAAAATTTACACTTAATATTTCACAAAAGGGCGTGGGCCCGGGGCAGTGGGTTTTTTAAAAGTCCTTTTGACAGACTTAATTTTAAAAAAGAAATATTTTAAATCAGTGGAAAGGGCAGAATTGGGATTTTTTAAAATAATAAATTTTAAAAAACGAAAATCTAAGATTTTAGACTACAACTGCTTAAGATATCCCAAAAGTTGAACTGCGATTTTTAAAAACCATAAATGGATAAATTTTTTCATATTTAGTGCCCCTTAGATTGAATACATGAATAAAATAGTTTTAAGGGGGTTTTTTAAAAAGTATTTTTAAAAAAATATTTCGGGAAAAATTAAACCAAAAAATTTTTTCAAAAAGTTCCCCTTTGTGAAAAATGCTTCTATTAGAAAATATTTCGCCTGTATAAAGTTCAAACGCTGTGAGGCTCAATTATGATTTTTTAAAATTACAATATTTTTTGAGATAAAACCCAAATTTAAATAAATCGGCTTTTTTTCTGAAAATTTCCCCTCTATTTTCGTAAAACATGATAAACCCATTTTAAATTATATATTTCGTTCTAGTTCCCTGAATAGAGGTCTGAGCTAAAACAGGCAAAATATTATTATATAATAGAAGCATTTTTTACAAAAGGAGAATATTTTGAAAATGGGTCATTCAAAGTTCATTTTTGTCAAATATGGACTTTAAATAATTTTTATTGTAATACTATTCTTAAGACAATTTTATATACATTTTTAATCTAAGTGGCACTAAATACCATAAATATTATTCATTTATACGCTTTTGCAAAATCACAGTTCCGAAAGTGGTCGGATACCTTAAGTGTTTTCATGTTAAGCGTATTTCACTGTATACCATTAATATTAAATTAGATATGGAACAGAAGCAAAACAAGACCAACTGAGAAATATATTCAAAATTAACATAAAAGTATTATA